CCTAGTCAAAACAATGGTAAAATTACACTTTGTACAGACTCTTCAATTAACATAATGACATATAAGTTTTCATAAAAAAATGTTGACTGTATAGATGCAGTGACAGGAAAATTCATGTCAACACAGTTTTCCTATGGAGGGCCTTGTGATACAATATTAAGTCTTGTTTCTAATATAATAAAGAGTCTCCTTATCATACTTGTCTAAGTTATCCTTCACATATGGACACATTTCTTTATAAATAGAAGTAATCACAATAAAATAAAATAAATAATCTCCATCCTCACTGACCTACCTAGTTCTAAAAATGAGATTACACTTAACATGATATTCATTTAAAGAAAATATCTGCTGGATTGGATGCATTTTGACAATAATCTTTTGGCTTACAACCCAGACACTGAAATTACTTTAGCGATGAACTTACCATGGAGCTGTGAACATTGTTTGGTCTAAATTGTAATAGCCAGTGCAGTGTAACATAATTGTCTCGTAAATATACTAATCATTTACAGTATCTTTCTCTGTTGTCTTTTGCACCATTGTGTATAGCCACATCTTTATTTATAATCACATCTGATCAGAAAACTGGCAGATATCTTCAGTGTGAATGTGAGCCACAAGATCAATACAAATTCACATACATAATTAACTATCAAAAAAACAAAAATGTAGTATACTCGTTTTGTCCATTCTAATTTTAACCTATATATGATGTAGAAGGTTATCACAATTTCATATTCAAGATCTGCCCATTAACCATTTATGGACTCCATATACTTCCCAAAATAATTTTTTGATGACTAATATGGACCTGACAAATGTCCCAGATCATCACTGCAACATATGCAGTTTTCCAGTTGATTAATCCCTCACTTTGATTACTGATACATCTGAAGCATTGTTTTATCATCATAAAGCCATTTATGTAATGTAATCATGATTATACATTATCAAGAAAATTACAATAGTGGCCACAAACCTCACAGTACCTGGCCAGCACCTGGTTGAGTGAGGCCATCCTCAGAAATTACCAAAGGATTTTGAGTTGCTATGCTCTGAGTGTTTATCTTGGTGAATTATTTATCATATGTGACACTGAATCCTAAATTTACTCTTTCCCACCAAGTGCCTGTGGAAATACGTATGATGAATTTGTTACATTGGGCAATGTAGGGTGAAAATAAGTCTTACTCATAGAACTACTTCTTATTTCTCTGCCATTACTTTATTGACAGCTTTATTACTTTTCTTCATTTTTCATAACTGTACATTTATATCCCTGTCACATTACCAATCTAATTAGCATGCATCAATATTAATCTTTCTCATACTGTCTTAATATGAAGGTACTGTAACATAGGCATACAAAAGGTATGTTGGTTAAAACTTTAGATAACAATGTCAAGTCCAGGTGAAAATGTTTATACTTTAATAAATCAAACTGTGACCCCTAATATTCATAGACCAAATAATGTAGATACCCAAATCCTATAAAATGATGACACTATTTTTTAAAAAGAAAAAAAAAAGTAGTTTCTTCAAGGATGTATTCAACAGTAACTTTCAGCAGGTGATGAATGTTAAGGTTAAACTAATTGCCATACTTTTACAACTACTATCCAATTTGTTTGTTTTAATATATTTGGCATTTTCACCAGTGATGCAGAATTTGTCAACATACATGCAATTGTTTCATATATCCACATAAGTCAAAATATGTTTTTACAAGAACTGGATAACAATCTGAAATGTCAACAATATTCTAAACAAAACTAAATCTGGATTGACATATCACAACAAAGTGTATCACAATACATTTTCATAACAGAGTTACAATTGAATTTCTAGTATGGACTTGAAATACTTTGACTGTTCATGAGAGGACTAACTATTCACAAGTTTTGAGCAATAACGCCACTCATCACTTTTTTTGTCAGTTCTGTCACCTGATTTTTACTGATTTTGGAATAATAATTCATAAAATGGCATGAATTTGGCTTTATCATATACTTTCAAATATGCACTTCTTTTGTTTTCAAAACTTCTAATAAGACCCTCACCTTGAAAGTTGAGACAAGAACTACATTTAGTCAGCCTCTAAATATAGTATTGTGAAATATATTTGAACACAGTCTAGAGATGTTCATCACACAAGAGATGCTTCCTGCAGGCACTTAACAAAGACCATAATACACTGATACTATAACAGAACATCAATAATCTTCCAAAATCCTTTATCACATAGTATATGGTATTCTATTTAATCAAAGAGCCCATACCTTTGTCTAATGCTGAGGATTATTTTTTCCATTTAAACATGGAGGTGGCACAGCAACTGGGGTATGCTAGCTTTGCAAATGCCTGGTCCCTGGTATGTGCCAGGCTATGCCCCATCCAGCTGACTCACATATATCAAAGTCAGAGCAGATAGGAAGTAGCCAACTACTGCATCATCCCAGAGTACGTTTCCTGTGGACATGTCCCTTTGTCTATCAGGATACAGGACCAACTTCAACAGGTTAAACCCATTTATCATAATTTTTAAATTTCAGTACAGTTTTAAACTTATTTCAAATCCTAACTGATGAAAGATACTGTTGAATATCTTGAAAAACAACCTGGACTTTACATCATTAGACAAAATATAAAAAAACAATGAATGGTTGACTCAAAAAAGAGCGAGAGAGCAAAACTAATCATATTCCTATGGTTATCATTATCATCATTACAATACATAGTAGTAATCACCGACCACAAATCCTCTACAAACAGTCATCAAACTTTTTCTAACTATAAATAATGAATCTAAACTTCCATATATATTACCACTGTATTCTTTCCATCCTTTGCATGTTTTCTCAAAGGAAAATATAAAGCTCTAATTAAATATCCAGTACTTGAAACACTTTTAAAAGCTTATTCTGCTTTTAGCCTTGTCAGAAACACCTGTAAACAACTCCTACTTTCCAAAGAAAAATAAGACTGAAGAAAAATGTCCCATACAAAGACACAATACTGAAAGTATAAAATCACCTTAAACTACATCACTTATTCGGACAAAATCATGTATGACAATATTAATGGTAAATCAAAATTATAGAGACACTAAGTATGCAATGGACAAAAAACTAAAATTATGTACTCATAATACTGAACATCATGGTAATGCTAAAATCAAAACCATAAATCGTCCATGCAATACAACATCTCCCGTAGTTAAGTCCAAACCATCGTTACAATTCAGATATCATACCATTCTACACTTGTGAAAAAATAAAATAATAATAAAGCTACTTGCTATGCATAAACATGAAGCCTATAAAGCAAAATTTGTACAAGCTGCAACTAATATAAACATGAGCAATCTATATCACTTCCCAAGCCTGTCACTGAAGGCTGTCGGTCTTAAGAATTCGGCGGAACTACGGAGGTTCAGTTAGAGATCTGTAAGTATACAACAGAGGGAGAAAGAGGAGGAGCAAGAGGGGAGAAATGAGGGGTAAAAGGAGGAAAAGTGAGGAAATAGGAGAGGAAGGAAAAGGGGATAAGAGGAGGTGGAGGAGAAAGGGGGAGAGGAGGAAAGCACGAAAGAAGAAACATAAAAGGAGTATGAAAGATGGTATTGAACAAAAGAAAGAAGGTAAAAAAAGAAAAAAATAATCAAGAGAAAGTAGAAAGACAAAGAAACTGAAAACAAATAAAGATGGTACTAACACTACCATTGAAGATCTCGTTTGAAAAAAGAATAAAAGTGAAGCATAAATAAACATACAAAATAGAGGATCATTCTTTTTCACCTCTATACAGTTAGCCATCTTTTACAGCATAACACAGCGTGGAAGCTACAACCATACAATTCATATTCATACCAAATGAACCCTTATTGACGTCTTCATCAATATTCGGCAAAGTGATAAGAATTATAGATACAAAACGTTACTATTATAGTTTATAGAGAAAAGAAAGCAATAAATCACAGCAAAATATATAAAAAAATGGGGATACTTAAGAAAAAAACTGAAAACTTATCTACATGGCCATGCTATAAAAGAATATAATGAATATGTATAGAATATATACATGTAGATACATATATGTATACATATAAATATGCATACATTCAGACTTATATACACTCCCCAAACAAACAAACAAACACACACACACACACACACACACACACACACACACACAACACACACACACACACACACATACACACACACACACACACACACACAAACACTCACTCACTACATACACCCCCCAAATGCACACACTCACTCTCACACTCTCACACACACTCACACACACACACACACACACACACACACACACACACACACACACACACACACACACACACACACACACACACACACACACACACACACACAACACATACACACACACACACACACACCACACACACACACACACTCACTCACTCACTCACTACATACACCCCCCAAATGCACACACTCACACTCACACTCTCACACACACACACACACACACACACTCACACTCACACTCACTACATACACCCCCCCAAATGCACACACTCACACTCACACTCACACACACACACTCATACACTCACACACACACACACACACACACACACACACACACACACACACACACACACACACACACACACACACACACACACACACACACACACACACACACACCACAAACACACAAACACTCACTCACTCACTCACTCACTCTCACTCACTCTCACTCACTCACTCACTACATACACCCCCCAAATGCACACACACACACACACACACACACACACACACAAACACACACACTCACATCCATCATCACCAAATATATTTATAAGGTAAAAATTTTCTTTAAATCTAAATTTAAATTTTATGTTTGCTGCAAGATTTGCAAGAAGTTGGATTTAAAATTCACAAATTGAGACAATTCATACATAATGTACATAGGTATGTGATCAGCAAGTATAACTGTTTTCATGTCTGTAGGCAAGCCACATTTTACATCATGTACAATGTAAAAAATAAAGGGAACATACAAGGCAGTGTCCAAATTTTTCGACATCAGATATGATATCATTGCATGTCTAAAGTCAGCAATAAAGATTCCGGTTGTGTACTTTTTAACTATATGTTGATTTGCATGCAAAACTTTTTCCAATTCTCTGTAAGGCATAGCAAAACCAATTTTGAGAAAAGACATACTTATTTCTTTTATTTTTGCAGTATCTACATATCTTCCCTGTTCAAACTATTTTTTTCTTTTTGATAATAACAGTTTCAATTGAGGTGACAAAAAATAATTGAAGCACACATTGAAAATTCTCAAAAACACGTAGACATCTATGTAACCAATTATTTCTTCCAATACTGCATACTTTTCCTGTTTGTTTTTCAAGTTGTAAGACGAATAGACACGAGAGTAAATAGCTCCAATAGGAAGATGTATAACTGATGTTTTTATATTACATCTTCATAAGAATAAAATCTGTCTGAAGAAAATGCAACATCAAAATATTAATTACATATTCTATACTGCCGTGTCATTCATCCTCATTCGTGCCTTTTCTATGTTTGTCACATGAAAATATAGACATTTTCTAGGGTCAGTATCATCCTTCCTGCAGCAGAGGCCATTACAAAAATCAACCTCTCCGCAAAATCTCAAATCCAATCCTTCACACAGTACCTTCGGCTTTGGGAGGTAAGAAAAATTAAATGGCACACGGTTAAAGGTATCTGGATATTACAGTAAAAAAAAAAAATTGTACATGTAATATTTTCTTTTATATATTCCTCTTCTCAAAATGCATGCCAATGTACTGGTTTGAATAATAGCATTTCATTTGTACACTGATATGGTTCACTACTAATAACACTTCTTTTCTTGTCAAAAGTTAATGTCACAGAGTATGAGCTGTTATGTATTCCAAAAATAATAATAATAAAAAAAGTATTATGAAAATATTAATATTCAAAAATATTTGTTTGTTATATAAAAGTAAAACACCAAATATATTACAAACATAGGGCAAAGTCTTCCAAAGGTTCAAAAATACTTCATCTAGCAAAACATAACAGAAAGATTTGCCAACAACAACAACAAAAAACTACTCAACAAATATGAGCTACTCTAGCTATCTGAACTTCTATAAGCCTTATCTAAAATCACCTGAATATTGGTATGAACTGAATGAAGCAAGGTCCACCTCAAGGCCCTCAGCTTGTTAGTCTCAATTCGTGAGTCTCTGCTGCCCTGATACCCCATCCAAGAAGAGGGGCAGGGCATTGCATGTCCAACACGGATGCCACTTGAGCTTGCGGAACTCGTCTAGGTTTTTATAGAAGTCATAGTATGTCTCCTTTATAGCTGTCTCACGTGGGAATCCTCGGAACCAGTCCTGCAGGAGGTTGGCCAACTCCTCCTTATTCTTGAAGATAAGTCCATTTTCATTGTGTTTAACCAGCTCCGGGAGAGCTGGGTAGTCAATGGCTGCCACGGGGAGACGACTGCCAAACATGTCCACCACCTTCATTGGAAGGTCCAGGCCTGAAGAAGAGTAGTGTAGGCACACACCCAAATCTGCAGCAGCCAGCAAGGTTGGATAGTCCTCTGCAGTCATCCAGGGAGTGATGACTGCTACGTGCATCCACATTCGTTCCGCCACCAGGGATGTGTAGTACTCTTTCATTGGCCCCTTCCCCGTCACCACCACAATAAGCGGAGGGTAGTGGTCTGGGAATTCATGCCGTACACCCTCATAGTCCTCCAGGGCATGGAACAGGATAGAAAAGTCTTCATCCTCTGTCCAACTTGTGGAAGACACCAAGAGAGCTGGCCTGTCTTCGCACTCTATGACACGGCCATCCGCATACCTTTCAGTAAATACTGTCTTGTCAGGTGAGGAACCAGAAAAGCATGAGTATGTTGTGGAAAGTTTCATGAAGAGATTGTGCTTCTCTTCGAGTGATATTGGATGGAATCGATCAGCTGGACGGTCATATAACACAGTCACCTTTTGGATGCCCCATTTCTGTGCTAAGTTAATCTTCATGGCTTTGGTGACACACAATCCCCCATGGGCCTGTTTACCAAAGATTCTCTCACATAAACTGTAAACAAAGACCAGGGGATGATTCTGTCGAAGATTAATAGCCATAATGGTGTACCCATAGTTGTGCCAGTCAATCAAAAACTTGGTCCTAGTAATGATACAAAAGAACCAGCATACAGGCATTGTGGGAATTCCAGGTGGGTTCTGCATGAGCAATACTTTACTCCTTGGGCTTGTCAACAAGGTAAAGAAGAGGATAATGGCTTGCCATAGGACCTTCATGAAATATGCTAGCACCCTGGGCAGATTGCCAAAAGCTGCAGGCGAAGGCCTCATATATGTGAGAGTGATATGTTCATCCTTGAGAACCTCAATCTGTGGTTTGGACCCAGCGAAGCCTACAAGGTTGACCTCGAACCCTTCTTCGGAGAGTGAAAGTGCATGGTAGTTCATCCGAGGGGAGTGCCCCAGGTCTCCCAGCACCACCAGCGTGACTTGTTCTCGTTTCTTGTCTCTCTGGTAACCCATTTCTGTCAATCCTGACTCACTAATCTGCAAAAAATAAAACATAATTCATCTTTAATTCTTCAGATTATTCTAGAATAATATAAATATAAACTTACATTTGAGAAAATAATACTATTCACTTCAGTACACAAAATTTCAATATGAAAAAAAAAGGACATCTCAACTAAACTAAGCAGATGAACCTTCTAGCTATGTTTACTTTGACTTTTAACATCATCTATGCACATGTTTATACCAAAAAACGATCTACAGACACTGAACGCATAGTTAGGTGACAAATCTATTCACACTTTTGTTTTTCAACACAATCATAGCTGTACCTATTTTTCCTGAAAATATACCAATATCAAACACATAAAATATAGGCCTACATGGTGTATATGAGCAAGTGTAACAAATTATGAATTACTTTTAGAGTCAGACTAAACTCAGTAAAACTGAAATTGATACTGGAAGAAAATTTGGATAGGAATTTATGGCAAACTGAACAAACTCAAGAACATGAATCAGGTCACAGGAGGAGAACTATGGTCAAATAGTCCTGGAAAAAACATTAAACAATAAAAAAACATTATAGCAGACAAAAACTTGGTCCAGTAGAAAAAGTCAACTCATGACAGCTGCTACTGTATCAAGTTATGACTATACTGTCCCTCATGCTGGTAATTTCTTATAATATCTAGCATGGTCCAGCCTGCACTCATCTGGCCCTGGCTGCAGGGAATCAACCCTTTGAAATCAGACCTAATACCACTTTTTACCTAAACAATCGTGTACGCTGCAGCAAAGAGCATTGAGATTGGGGCATGTTTATGTTGCCTGAAAATCTATTTTTACCTCAAACACCTGACTAGCATGAGGCTTAGTATGGCATCAGGAGCTTCTGCTGTGTGCGAGCTAAACAGTAAACTCCCAGCAAGACCATCACCTTGGATTCAAGATATTGATCATATGTCACTGCATAACTGGGGTATTATCATGGACATACTGCAACAGAGCCATGCTTTACAGTACATTGTAGGCAAATCCCCAATGCAAAATTCAAACAGCAGACTGTGATATAAAGAAAAAGTTCTGCAATCATATGCCCAGGATACAGTCACTTAAAATGAAGGAAGTAAAATTCTACACTGCCAGTATCATCTTGGTGACTTCCTTGTATGACAAAAGGGAAGTGTGCTTTTTAGCCACACATGTTCACAATGAAGAATGCTGACTGAGTAATGAGAAAAGGTATTTCACCTGAACCTGTTCCAAACTGTATCATCAGCATCAGTCTTGTTGACAAAACTGATTCAACAATTATTAGTATCCACTGCAAGACCACAAAATAATGCAAAAAACTGTATTTTCATCTTCCCTACTAATATTTAATGCTCACGTGACAATTAAGAAGGAAAACCTACATATCAGTATGCAGGAAAGAACACCCAACTTCTTGTCACCACTGAACACCAGACCATTCTAATACGACTGACTCATTTACCTAAGACTGACTGACTGTCATCCTCTATAAACTCTATATTCCCATTATCAAGGAAGGAAAATAAAGTACCAATTCAAACAGAGAGACTCCTGTGCAGCAAATAAAAAGTCTATAGCACCTAATGGCTGTGCATCGATGAGAAAGTCTGCAGTTTCTGACACAGTTTAATGCAAACTTTTCCAAACAATTCTACATTTATTGGTACATAACAAATTTCCAAAATATTGAAACTCCATTTCTAATATCTAAAAAATGACCAGCACTCACTCAAAATTTAAGTTATATGTTCAAGGCTCTAATATGCTCATGGGTTAAATCAATGGCACTGTGTACATGCACTGTCCACAGTGTTTTTTGTTAATTTTGTTTACACATATATGGCTTCACAAGTGGTAAGTCCGTTAATAGGCTTGAATGACCTCATTTGTTTATCCCATTTCTTAAACCTTTGATAAAAAATGTTTAATTTATATCACTATATTTGTTGTTTCTAATGTCATTAGTATTTTAGTAGTCTTTATTACCTTTGTTTTTACCACTGTTATCTTTATAATGTCATTACACTTATAATAATAAGTTTAAAGATTATCCTCTAGATATTTCAAGAAACAGCATAAATAAGTGGCATACCTAGTAATAGTCTCATAGGTGGCTAAGCACTTCTAAATAGCAAATCACTAAAAATAAAGTGGAAACTCTGTGTACATACCCACAATATCAAAAGGTTAATTACAAGATTCTATCATTTTTCTCTTTTAAGAATTGTAATAGGTCAATTGGGTGCAGTGGGGGGAACAGCTTTTTCAAACATATAACCTTCTATATTTATATGACAGAGATTTGAATACAGTGTTTTTGTTGCAAGTGTAAAAAATACTCATACGAATCTTGTAACTTTTTCATCATTTTTT